TCCAAACCATAGTTCGGCGCGTCCAAGTTGCCATCGTCAAGGTAAATTGGCCAAGACCCATTCATTTGGCCATTTGATCGTACCACGGCCAATAGTGCTGAATGCAACAGAATCATCTTCAACATCATCATCATCCTCCTCCTTGACCTCATCATCCTCAACATCATCAACCTTCACTTCATCTTCGGCAACATCAACATGAATTATCATTTTCATCCTACTCAACAAAATGATCCTCAACATCAACATCATCATCATCATCATCATCATCAAATCAAATCATCATCATGATCATGAACATTGTTGTACATTATCTTCCCACCCCTAGACTGTTTGGGGTTTCTTGCCGGGATATTTTTTAAAAACCATTTTCAGATCAACAAATTCTTCCAACGTCTCCGCATCTTAGGTGCCGAAAGACCTTCTTGGAGGTGGTTCCATCCAGTAATTGGATGCCTGCAGCCAAGCGGACCCAGAGTTTGCCGGTTGGCGACCTACTTCAGGAAGCGTTGTGTCAGGGAACCGGATCGGTGGTATGTCTGAAAATGGGCTATACCTTTTGAAAAATGGATCTAAATGGCCATTTCATGGGGAAAATGATGATGAACGAATGGATTTAGGGGTCAGACAAACCCAAAATAGGTGTTCATAAGCGGCATTTTCCGGTGATGTCGAGTCAAGTCTTGGGGAACCGAAAAACTGGATGTTGTTCCTCCCCTAAATGACAACATTTTCGCGTTTCCAGGTGCAATCATTTTAAATGGAGTAACTGCTGCAAAAACAGGAACGATGGATGATTGAACACCCGTTATTTGACGTGATCTAGGCATATTGCATCGATCAACTATGCGAAAACACGAACCAACTATTCTGCGGATGTACAGAATCGAAGTGGTCAGACCGCTACAGGGCACGGTGAACCAGCCGAACTACCATTTATTCGCTCTTTTGTTTAGGGCTATTTTTTGGGGGCGTCATGTGAAACCCGGGTTGGTGCTGCTTCAGAGTCAGAGGCTTTAAAAAACATGTGCCCATTGGGGCCATGATTGTTCCATGTGTTTCCAGTCCAGTCAAAGCACCAAGACAGCTTTGAAATTCAAACGCAGGTGGATCGTTGGTCCCTTTAGCGAAATATTCACTGTAGTCTTAAAACTGTTAGTTGGCAACAAACCCAGTTAGGTATTCAGTCCCGGTTAAGCCTAGCAAGAGGCCGTTCAACAAAAATACACGAAACCAAGGGCATTCTTTTTCAGAAACCCAGCCGACTGGCTTGGATGATGTCGTTGCCCCAGGGGAAATAGCCGCAACAAACTGAAAGTGCACTTGCTTTGCTTTGTCTCTATGTGCTTGGTCTAGCATCCCAGCAAGTCAGTAACCTTGGTGGGAAATTTTGTCCCATTTCTCGCTGGGTCCAGTCTCTGTTGAGTACTGCGACCGCTTGAATGATTCCTGGGAGGTATATGAGATTCCGTCAAAATTTGCGCTGATTAAGTATGTACTGGAGTGTGCATCGGATGTTGGCTGCTGCATGAAACCTGCTAAAACGATACGGGATTCACAAAAAAACGATACGTTTTTTGATTGCGCATGCTTGGGCATTTTGTGGTGTGGGCATAGTGTTTGCTTAGGCAGGTTTTTTTTCCACTTCACCATGAATGGGTGTGCCCATGCGGTGGGTTGACTTTACATGACTTTACATTACTTTAGCCACCTAGGTGGGCTGCTTAAACTCGGCACCGAGTAGCTCAGATTACGGAAGCCATGCATCTATTCGCAGGCAGTGTAGGCATCCTGGAGTGGTTTTAACTCCATGCAGTATCTCGTTTTGCTGCCTGGCCTAGCTTTGGTAGACTGCGGCGAGCTACTCGTTCAGTCTCGCACGCATGTGACTTGCAAAGATGGAGCCCACGCAGAACGATACCCAAAACGATGCCCAAACCATACTAAAATCTTTCCAAAAGCGCCCCGGGTGACCGACTGGTCACAAAACAGGCTGAACAGGTATGAACAGGTGGTGGATGTTGGTAGTATGTTATAGTGATGGACTAAAGTTTTGTGCCCCGGCTGGATAAATTTTGAGGTTAGCAGCTGTGATGGCCAAAGCATGCCAAAACCCATTTTCTTTCCAAAAGACTTGCTGGTTGAAGAGACCGCCCAAGCAGCACGAAGGAGGACCAGACAGGCACGGGCAAAAGCACAAGTGAGCTCCAGCGCGCGCAAACAAAGATCGCCAGGGATGAGGATCCAAGTGGACGCGCGTCAAAACTATGCTAAACAGAGGTAAATAATTGTCAAAATATGTAAAAACAGGAAAACCGAAAACCTGTAAAACGTTAAGGGACTCACTAACTTGATGACGCACTTGACGTAAACAATAAATTTCGACCGTGGCTCATATCCAACCGCAGCCCCACGCATGTCCTGATCAATAGAGGTGTAAACACCATTCAAAAACATTTTTAGCTGATGGTGAACCGTATCGCGGTATACCAGTCATTGGCCCATAGCGGTAATTCCCCTATGCGGATAATAACCCATCCCCCTTAGAAATACAGTAGACCTCTGTGAAAAATTGGATCATAAAATCAACATGTCCACTCCCAAACCTGGGTTTCAAGGTGTTTATCATCCAGAATCCCCATGAAGATTCCCGGTCACAATCACGTAGCCAAATGGAGTCATAACGACCTTACGTTGGGGGGATCATCCCCAAATGGCATGATCTCAGGTTGAAGTTGGTGAATTGTGAAGCAATTCAGCCAGAATATGGGTACGGGATGGTACGGGTCAAATGGCAATGGTGTGGGTTCCATATCCCATGTTATTCCCTTTCTATCGCCATTATACGTACAGTCAATACAATCATTTTGATTGTTAAATCACCATAAAAAAAGGTATATCGCCATTTTTCATGATGAATTTAAAATGTTTGGACGCAACAAAATAGTTAACGCATAAATCAGTTGAATCCTCTTTATGCTTCAGGAGGACGAGGCAGACACCACGGCAGACCGCATCTTACGTCGTGTGAGTTGTTCATTTCAGTGGCAGCCAGCACCTTGGGATCCAAATTCCTGGGTTGATATAGTGGGATTTTAATGGGATTTAACCATCAGGAAGAACATTTTGATGGAATGTAATGATTTAACTGACCAATATGGTGACATCACCAGTGAATCATGGATTTGGGTGTGCCTTAAACATTGGGTATAGCAACAATGATGATCCCCAATGGTTTTGTTGGAGGCCCTCCCTAGCTCCAAAAAAGAAATGGCACATCTGCCTCATAGATGTATATGTATCTATATATATATATATTGTATATATACTGACCTGTTTTTATGATAGGTGAAAAGGTGGTACTGAATGTATAGGGCATCGTTGGACAGAATGGTCACCCACCAGTATTCGCTACTGGTACGAATCGAGGCATTCTTGAAACGATCACTACAGGACTACAGGTGAATGGGGTACCCCTAGGACACTCTCTAGCATTCTGCAGGAAACTAGTTGAATAGTTGATACTGCTGGAGACGGAGGTAAGCCCAACTAACACCCAATGGAATTAGCACAAGTTGAAGATTCTGTCAAAAAAGGAAGACAAACAAAGCCCCAGTAGCTGCAGACAAATTACACTACCTTTCGTTGCATGATAGTGGGACACTGCCCCAGATGAATGGAGCCCAAAGTTTCAATGAATGGGACGGTTGAAAATTGAAATGCTTTGGAAGGTCTTTTGAACTCCCTTGTCAACGCTTTTTGTGGAGACCCAGCCAGTGAGAAAAAACACACACACTAGATGAAGCTACCAGTAGCGACTGCGCTTGTGGAGTTTTGGCGTCGCTGGACCACCCTAAATCGAGCGTTCTAACAGGGAGCGAACGTCACTCCCTGTTAGAACACTCACTACCGGTAGCGACTGCACTTGTGGAGTTTTAGAGTCGCTGGACCACCCTAAATCTTGCGTTCTTCTCAGTACAACCCCAGCGAAAACACAAGATGATCCTTGGGTCGATGATTCCGGTGGCACCCTTAGAACACTCACTACCGGTAGCGAGCGTTCTAGTGGAGTTTTTCCGTCGCTGGGGCACCATCAATCTTGCGTTCTTCTCACTAAGACCCCGGCGAAAACACAAGATCATCCCTGGGTCGATGTTTCCCAACCCTCCCTTAGAACACTCACTACCGGTAGCGAGCGTTCTAACGGTAGCGAGCGTTCTAACAGGGAGCGACCGTCACTCCCTGTTAGAACACTATTTATCTTAATAGCACCATTTTTTTATACATTTTGAATCCCCAAATCACTACCGGTAGTGAGCATTCTAAGGGCTCCACATTGACAGAATTCCCAATTCACTACCGGTAGTGAGCGTTCTAAGGGCTCCCCATTGACAGAATTCCCAATTCACTACCGGTAGCGAGCGTTCTAAGGGCTCCCCATTGACAAAATTCCCAATTCACTACCAGTAGCCAATTCACTACCGGTAGCGAGCGTTCTAAGGGTTTCCAATTAAGGGTTTCCAATTCACTACCGGTAGCGAGCGTTCTAAGGGTTTCCAATTAAGGGTTTCCAATTCACTATCGGTAGCGAGCGTTCCCGGGGTTCCCAATTCACTACCGCTAGCGAGCGTTCTAAGAGTTCCCAATTCACTACCGCTAGCGAGCGTTCTAAGGGTTCCCAATTCACTACCGGTAGCGAGCGTTCTAAGGGTTCCCAATTCACTATCGGTAGCGAGCGTTCTAAGAGTTCCCAATTCACGACCGGTAGCGAGCGTTCTAAGGGTTTCCATTCACTACCGGTAGCGAGCGTTCTAAGGATTCTCAATTCACTATCGGTAGCGCGTGTTTTAAGGGACCCAATTCACTACCGCTAGCGAGCGTTCTAAGATGTTCTAAGGGTGCCCAATTCAGACCAGTAGTGAATGTTGGTGGAGTAACCGTGGTGTCCAAAGATGCAAATATACAGTACCACCTTTTCAACTATCATAAAAGCAGGACAGTATATATATATATTATTATATATTATAATTATAAAAATATAATTTGTATATATCAACTGATATTTGCCGCCCCCTCCCTTCCTGTACCCGGATTTTGGATCATGTGGTTACTTTGAACATTCTAAACCATCTGAGATTGTGGTCCCCGAAGAACAAACACATATGAACAAGAGAACGACTTCACTGCCCTGTTCACCCACTACTTCCTTCATCAGGTAGTGCGGTAATTGTGTCTCGACACCTTTGCTCAACACGATGCGAAACATCATACGTGCGCAGATCAGCAATGGATGACCGAACCTACGGAAAGAACACATTTACTGTATATTGTGAACCGAGATGAAACTGTTTTTTGCAATAAATTCCACGGAAGAAAAAAACCGCGAACTTGTCACATGTTCGGCTCTATTTCAAGGAAGGGTGCAATCGGTCTTGCTGCCAGCAAAGAACGTACATGTTGATTTTGCTGCAATCTCCCTGATTTATACACACTATAAATGTATGAATATGTATAGATCATGTGTAATTATTTACATATGACATAATAGACATAGACAATTTGAATAGCAAAAGAGGGACAGATTGATCTACACAGATCCATTTGCTCAACATCTGAGGATTGGCCTGAAGGAATTTCCCGTGGCAGCTATGGGCATCCTTCCTTATGCAGGGCACCGTGCGTTTATGCTTTCTACGGGACCTGCATGAAGGGTCCAAGGTGCAATTTTTGCCACCTCGAGCACCGCAGTCCAAAGCGCAAGCTCACAAGACAGGAGACGTTGCGGGCAGATTTTTTGTGTTTACTGAAAATACGGTATTTTTTAAGAATCATTTTATAGTCATAGTAATATAATGTAACATAATGTAACATATATATATATATATTGTTTTCGCGTATGTTCCCTCCCTATGAAGGCGGCATAAAACGCCCACAACTCGGGGTTGGGGGTATAGCCATTTGATGAAGTTCACATGTGAGTGACATGGTGCTGAGCACATCCAGAATTTACCAAGTAAGGATACGCTCTCAGGGAGTACGCTCAGCTTTTTGTTGGCAACTTTGCCGGCGTATGCCATTTGAGTCTCTGGCCCACCCTGCTAGTTGGTTGTTTCTTGGTGTTCTGCCGTTCTCGTACCTGGTTTGATGGGGATATAACTAATTAATCCCAGCAGTTCAGTAAGATGAATCCCTATCAACGCACCACTAAAATCAGCAAATTGTGGAGGGCTCATGTCTTACAACTTAGAACCAAACTTTAGAATGTGGGGAGTTAGGAGAGGCAAGCTTTATATCAGATGCCGGAGTCGCTGGTGCTTTTGACCTTCCAGTCACACCTCGACAAACACGTCACCAAGCTTCAGCTGCAGCAACCCTTGCGCTTGGTGCTGGCAGTTGTGGCACAACGTGTGAAGCTGTTGAGACCTCAGAGGCCAGCAGGCTTTGAGTTCAGGATGGCCATTGACCAGATCTGGAACCTGCGCTCCTTCTCCTTGGGCCGGTTGGTTGAATGCATTCTGCAATGCCCGCAGGTGGATGCGAGCTTCAAGCAGGTAGTGAAGAGCTTGTTTGACAGCGTGCGGAAGGGGATGAACAAATTGGCTGTGAGTCAAAATGTACAGCCCGATCCATACCCCGCAGGTGATCCAGACCGGACCGATCCACACGTCTGGATCACTGCGGGCCGATCCATACCCGAATTTTGATGCACCCCGATATAATTAGAATGGCTGGATATCATTATGGATGATGCATGAAGCGTCCGTGAATGAAACGGTTTGTAGGCGTGCTTCGGGCCGACAGCCCTTGGCCAGATTGGCCAGAGCACGCCAGGTCTCCCAGTGCTCCCCTTCCTCACCTAATTAGCATGAGATAACGAATGTTTTTTGGACTGAGCTGGAACAGAAGGAATATCAAGCACGTTTTCATCCAACATTGAGGAAGGAAGGGGGAAAAACATGAAACAGAACAGCTGCATAAAGCGACAAGTGAATCCTTGGGTGACTGGATGTGAATGAATTTCTTCAGCCATCCCCTGCGGAAGATGTTTTCCACTCAAAATCGGTGGTTTGCTGGATATATGTTGTCCATGTCACCGATGGAATCACATCGAGATTGAATCGGCAGCCTTTTGATGCGTCATTCGGGTCGACCCTAATGACCTTAGAAAGCTCGAGGTGAAGGTTTTCGACGTATGGTATTGCAGATTAGTTTGAAATATGGTTTTCAAACACTTTAAGACTTAAGACCACATGTTGAAAATACACAATCAAAAAACAAGTTGCTTGGGGACATGGTTTGATTATCCATTCCGAACCAGATATGAAGAAGTTTCAGAGGCCAGATGAGGCCAGCATGCTCCTGGAGATATAAATAGCCTATAACCAAGGTCAAATGCGGAGCTCTTGGGGTTGTTTACATGTATATATTGTTGTTTAAGATGTTGGGGAGAGATGGCGAGAGGCTGTATCAAGTGGTCTAGATGCCAGTTTGCTGCTCCAACTATGAGGCCAAAACATCCGGTGGTTGTTCCATGTGGTTTCTGGTGGCACCCTCTTTCTTGAGAAATTTGAGAAAACTAAACACCAGCGCAAGCAATCGCAATCAAGATAAGTATCTTGTTCCCCAAATGTTTGTGTGGGGTGCTTGTTTTTGGTTCTGCACTCCCGGCCGCCTCCGCCTCCCGCCGCCCCGTGTCACACACAACTCTTTCACACACAACTCTCCAACACACACACACACACTTTTCAACACACAACTCCCTCACACACAACTTACTCACACACACAACTCTCTCACACACAACTTACTCACACACAACTCTCCAACACACACACACACCTTTCAACACACAACTCCCTCACACACAACTTACTCACACACAACTCTCTCACACACAACTTACTCACACACACAACTCTCCAACACACACACACACACCTTTCAACACACAACTCCCTCACACACACACACAACTTACTCACACACACACACAACTCTCTTACTCACACACAACTCTCCAACACACACACACACACCTTTCAACACACAACTCCCTCACACACACAACTTACACACACAACACTCTCACACACAACTTACACACACACAACTCTCCAACACACACACACACACCTTTCAACACACAACTCCCTCACACACACAACTTACTCACACTTGCTCAGAAACATCTTTGCGAATTACTGTTGTGGAATGCATCTCACGTGCACAAACATTTCAGTAAAGCCTGACAAGATTGTGATTGTGGATTGGACACGAGAAACAGTGTGAAGGAAATTTTTCTACGTCCTTGCTCGAAGGTTCATCAGGTTCTGATGCAGCTCTTTCAGATTGCGAAAACCGTGCAAAAACGAGAAATGAAACCAAGTTGATTGGAAAACGGCATGGTGGTCTTTGGGTTAGCCACGTCCCATGACAGTGAAGTTGTTTCAAAACAAATGCAGGTACGTCCAGGTGATCAGCCTGGATATAAGGACACCATAGAGAGCTTCGTTGGGCACAGCTCTATGGGCCTTCTGTGCCCCCCTGCTGAGAAAATTGTTCATAAACATGACATTTGAAACCCAAAACCAAAAACATGAAGAAGTGAGCAAACATCATCAGGTAGAAGTTTTACATCTTTTCAGATGTTCCACACACACGCCTCGCTGCCGCGAGGCTGATTTTTGGCAACTGCAGAATCGGTGTTGAAGCTCTTATCTGGACCCTGAAACAGGAATAGCGATTATCGCGAATCAAAATACAGGGAAGAAATCTGCAACTGAATTATCCGAGTTGCTCAGATCACCTTTCAGCACAAGGATCTTAGGCTGAGTCACTGATATCGGAGAGCGCCTCCATCTGTGCCGCTTGCTGCGACAATTGGTCAGTGGTCTGGGCCAAATGGCTGGCAAGGTGGGCCAAGTCTGCTGCCGAGAAGATCTGGATCGGATCCGTGTTTGGATTCTCCAATTTCTCGAGTATGGCCAGGTTGGCCTCTCGGTCATTGTTGAGAATGTTCCAAAGAACGGTGGCCAGCTGGTGGATCTGGATCGGTGCCGAAGCTTGTCCGGCATGGACAACCACAGATTCCGTGTCGTCCATATCTGATCCCGACTGAGATTCTTGGCTTGCTCCTGCTTGGTTTCCGCTGTGAGACTCTTGCGGGTGATATTGCCAGGTTCCCGTTTGGTGCATTTCCGGGATTTGGAAATGCCTGCGCCAGTAATTGGCTAGCTGGGCGGCTTGTCCCCAAGAGTCTATCCATCCGCTTTCGTCAGCACGGATGTGACCAATGATCCCATTGAAGAAGAACTCCGGTTGCCTGTTTCGATGATTTCCAGATTGATCCACTTCCGTCACCATAAGGCGACGAAGATCTGGCTGAGATCGATCGGGATTTGGCACCCGAACTTCCGTAAAATAATGGGCATGGAGTTGGCGACGTTGTTCTGCCATTTCTCTCTGGAGCGGATATGATTCTTCTTGTCTTGGGACAATTGGAGTCTGATGATCAGTGGAAGCAGGGAGCGGTACTGCTGGAACTTCGGTGGAGTAACCAGGATGAGAAGAATGGGTACCAGTATCTTCATGACGAGGAGGGTACCAAGCAGCTGGTTCGGTGAGGTCAGTGACTCTGCGATGATGATGACCAGAGTCTGATGGAGCGGCGCTGCTGCTGGGATAACCATGAGAGCGAGAATGACGACGCGGCATGCTCATTGGGATGGGATGAGAAGTGAAACCAGCACTGAGGGAATCACGTTTGGTCATGATACAGCTGGAGCCAAGAGCTAAAAGAAAAAGAGAAAAAGAAAAGAACAGAAACCATCAAAAGGAAAACTGGGATCGGAACAGTGAAGCACAGTGCACACGGTTGTCGTCGCGATGTACTCACACACACACAACTCTCTCACACACAACTTACTCACACACAACTCTCCAACACACACACACACACCTTTCAACACACAACTCCCTCACACACAACTTACTCACACACAACTCTCTCACACAACTTACTCACACACAACTCTCTCACACACAACTTACTCACACACAACTCTCCAACACACACACACACACCTTTCAACACACAACTCCCTCACACACAACTCACTCACACACAACTCTCTCACACACAACTTACTCACACACAACTCTCCAACACACACACACCTTTCAACACACAACTCCCTCACACACAACTTACTCACACACACACAACTCTCTCACACACAACTTACTCACACACAACTCTCCAACACACACACACCTTTCAACACACAACTCTCTCACACACAACTTACTCACACACAACTCTCTCACACACAACTTACTCACACAACTCTCCAACACACACACACACCTTTCAACACACAACTCCCTCACACACAACTTACTCACACACACAACTCTCTCACACACAACTTACTCACACACAACTCTCCAACACACACACACACACCTTTCAACACACAACTCCCTCACACACAACTTACTCACACACACAACTCTCTCACACACAACTTACTCACACACAACTCTCTCACACACAACTTACTCACACAACTCTCCAACACACACACACACACACCTTTCAACACACAACTCCCTCACACACAACTTACTCACACACACAACTCTCTCACACACAACTTACTCACACACAACTCTCCAACACACACACACACACCTTTCAACACACAACTCCCTCACACACAACTTACTCACACACACACAACTCTCTCACACACAACTTACTCACACACAACTCTCCAACACACACACTGTGGGATATATAGATTCGATTGTAGTGAGGTGAAGTAAAAGAGCACCACCAATTCCTGAATAGAGGGCCTGAAACGGATCCTGGGACATGAGACATGAATAATGAAATATGAAAAATGAATTCCGGTTCTCAGCTTAGCCGGATGCTATATCAAAGTTACTTAGTTTCCGGTTCTCAGCTTAGCCGGTTGCTATCCTCTGATGCAGGTACGCTGGGTTGATCAGACCCAGTATCCCATGATTGTGGTAGCTTCGTTGAGTGCGGTCCCACAATCATGCCGCACTCCCCTGCCAAATCAATATTTAGACTGCATGTTATTAGCAGTGTACACACACACACATGGCCTCTCAATATGAGAGGCAGATCAGTAAATGGGGCAAAACCGCAAACTGCCTATAGTTTTTACCTAAGAAAACTGACCTAAAGAGCCTGCCTAAGAGAATGAATACCTGGCCTAAAAGAACCTGATGACGATGACGAGTGATGTGAAAAGCAAAAAGTTACTTTCAACGCAACAAGGGGAGGGTTGCAACAACAGAATTTTCCAACTGAATCGGCCAGTTTCCTCAAATGCCTCTCCAGGGAAGATATTCGGGTCTGCTCACTGGGGAATGAACTTAACGTGTGGTGTTCTTTGGTTCAAGTGACACCCATGACTGTCATTTGATCTGTCAAATCAAACCACATCTCCATGGTTTCCAGAAACCTAAGGAGCCTGCCTAAGAGAGTGAATACATAGCCTCAACAGAACCTGATGACGATGATGAGTGATGTGAGAATTAAAACGTTGAACCATGTTCTATACCTAGTAAATCTGACCTAAGGAGCCTGCCTAAGAGAATGAATACATGGCCTCAAAAGAACCTGATGACGATGACGAGTGATGTGAGAAACAAAACGTTAAACATGTTCTATACCTGGAAAAACAAACCTAAGGAGCCTGCCGAATAGAATGAATACATAGCCTAAAAAGAACCTGATGACGATGACGAGTGAGGTGAAAATGCTACTGAGACTCCAACCACATGTACTGGTAGAAGTGCGCATTCAGAGTACTTCGTCATGTGACAACTTCTCCCTTGTGGGTACTTCGCCAATTGGGCTAAACTTCGCCTTATGGCTGTCAATATGTGTTGAACGAACTTCAATGTCCACCTTGACATTGTCTACTTCTTTTGCATGTAATATGCAAAGGGGACTTCAGGATGTTGGCGACATCCCACTCTGCAGCCGGGAAAATGCCCGGTCATAACTTTCATATCCGTCGAAACGGACAGACGGTACTACCAAGTGAGGTAAAGTACCCAAAACACACTGTGGGATATATAGATTCGATCGTAGTGAGGTGAAGTAAAAGAGCACCACCAATTCCTGAATAGAGGGCCTGAAACGGATCCTGGGACATGAGACATGAATAATGAAATATGAAAAATGAATTCCGGTTCTCAGCTTAGCCGGATGCTATATCAAAGTTACTTAGTTTCCGGTTCTCAGCTTAGCCGGTTGCTATCCTCTGATGCAGGTACGCTGGGTTGATCAGACCCAGTATCCCATGATTGTGGTAGCTTCGTTGAGTGCGGTCCCACAATCATGCCGCACTCCCCTGCCAAATCAATATTTAGACTGCATGTTATTAGCAGTGTACACACACACACACCTTTCAACACACAACTCCCTCACACACAACTTACTCACACACAACTCTCTCACACACAACTTACTCACACACAACTCTCCAACACACACACACACACACCTTTCAACACACAACTCCCTCACACACACAACTTACTCACACACAACTCTCTCACACACACAACTTACTCACACACACAACTCTCCAACACACACCCACACACACCTTTCAACACACAACTCCCTCACACACAACTTACTCACACACACACTCTCTCACACACAACTTACTCACACACAACTCTCTCACACACAACTTACTCACACACAACTCTCTCACACACAACTTACTCACACACAACTCTCTCACACACAACTTACTCACACACACACAACTCTCTCACACACAACTCTCTCACACACAACTCTCTCACACACAACTCTCTCACACACAACTTACTCACACACACAACTCTCTCACACACAACTCTCTCACACACACACAACTTACTCACACAACTTACTCACACACACAAATTACTCACGCACAACTCCCTCACACACAACTCTCCAACACACAACTCTCCAACACACAACTTATTCACACACAACTCTCCAACACACAACTTACTCACACACACACGCACACAGCTTACTCACACACACAACTCTCTCACACAACTTACTTGGCGACATCGACGTTCACTTTGTGCGGCAGGCCTGGCACTTGTGGCACTGGGCTGGCTCTGGCGGCGAGCTTGGGTCCCGTTTGACGCCGTTGTCGCCGCGGCTGTTTGTGTGGCAGGCGTGGCACTTGGAGACATCGGCCTTCACTTTGCGTGGCAGCCGTGGCACTTGGAGACATCGACCTTCACTGTGTGTGGCAGGCGTGGCACTTTGTGACATCGACCTTCACTTTGTGTGACAGGCGTGGCACTTATGGCACTGGGCTGGCTCTGGTGGCATGCTTGCACCTGTTTGATGCCGTTGTCGCCGCGGCTGTTTGTGTGGCAGGCGTGGCACTTGGCGACATCCAGCCCCATTTGGCGTGGCAGGCGTGGCACTTGGTGATGGACCTTCACTTTTGTGTGGCAGGTGTGGCACTTTGTGACATCGACGTTCACTTTGTGTGGCAAGCTTGGCACTTATGGCACTGGGCTGGCTCTGGCGGCGCGCTTGGGTCCCGTTTGACGCCGTTGTCGCCGCGGCTGTTTGTGTGGCAGGCGTGGCACTTGGAGACATCGGCCTTCACTTTGCGTGGCAGGCGTGGCACTTGGTGATATCGACCTTCACTGTGTGTGGGGCAGGTGTGGCACTTTGTGACATCGACCTTCACTTTGTGTGACAGGCGTGGCACTTATGGCCTGGGCTGGCTCTGGTGGCGCGCTTGGTTCCCGTTTGTCGCCGTGGACGCCGCCGCTGTTTGTGTGGCAGACGTGCATTTGGAAGCATCGACTTCCATTCTGTGTGGCACGTTTGGCCACACTGCCGCTGACGCTGCGCACCTCATGCCGCCCGCCGCTTTTCATGGCGTGAGGCATGTTTCGTCGTGGCCACACAACGCGCACAACGCACACATACACGCATACACACATACACGCATACAATCATACAATCATACGCACACATACACACATACACACATAAACACATACATGCATACGCACATACATGCATACATGTATGACATGTATACATGCATACATGCATACATGCATACATGCAAACATGCATCCATCCATCCATCCAGCCATCCATCCATCCATCTATCCATCCATACATCCATACATACATACATCCATACATCCATACATCCATACATCCATACATCCATACATCCATACATCCATACATCCATATATCCATACATCCATACATACATACATACATACAGACAGACAGACATACAGACAGACAGACATACAGACATACAGACATACAGACATACAGACAGACAGACATACAGACATACAGACATACAGACAGACACATACAAACAACTCTCTCACACACAAGTCTTTAATACGTACCTTTCACCATCTCATGTCTCTTTCCTGCCTTTCCCATTCCGTCTTCACCTTTCTTTTGTGACTTATTGGAAGAAGTTGACATGTGGGGTTTTCCGGTCCTTTAATTCTGCTTTTTTTTTGGACATTTGATAGCTCCGATCTGATGAAACAGTATTGTTCAAGGACTGTTTCAAGACGTTTTTTGATCGACTGGTGTGTTTCAACTCCTGGATCTGCAGTCGGCCTTCACGAGCCAACGAATCACCAGTGCGACCCCCGTGATGGGTACAGGAAGACGCGCCGTGAAGAAAAACAATCTGAAGGGCATGAAAATTCTCCATGGGTCTCAGGCCAACTTTTCAACGCCCTGAAATTTTGCACCAGGTGCGGTTTTAAACATGTTTTCAGATGGTGAAACATAGTTCATACACCCCATTAACATCCATTAACTATAAAACAAATATAATCATATATATATATATATATGCACCATAAACCACAGTCAACCTGGCTATACAGGTATCTGGGGGCCCCACCTTGTACTGTATATATAATTATATGTATTTTATATATATATATATACGCAGTATTTAACCGCCTTCGGCCTTTGGCTTGTTCCGCCGGCCACCTCCATTGTCATCAAACATGGCTGGGAAATCAACGACTATCGATGGTCCAAATGGGCCTTAAATGGGAACATCTATAATTCTGGCATTTTTCTTCAGTTGTCATGTTTGACGAGAGGCTTTGTTGGAGTTTAGGAGTTTCGGAGACAAGCTGTTTCAGTGCTCGGCTTTGTCGGTTTCCACCACTCCCAGGTCAGTGACCGCCCCAATAGCTGGCGAAGATTCGCCTATGTTAGTGATTGTTGCTGATTGATACACCCATATAGTAAACCCAGGGGGCGTCCCCGGCCTAGGGAGATCGGAGAATTCCCCATGATTGTCAGGTCTCGTGCTGAAATCTAACACCAACCCGTCGCTGGAATTTCCAAATCACGGCATATTCATGGTATATCCCCATATAGCCCAACATCCACTGGTATAGCATCATTCGTCCCGAAGATTTTGCAGTGTGTTGTATTGCATGGACTTAACAAGCCTTCAGCTGCCCAGGATAGTGCAGGTCATGGTCCCAAGCACAAGAAGAAGCGTGTGGCGCGCTCATTGCACCCTGGCAGTGGCTGAGTTGGGTTTGAAACTTGGGGTCAAACGTGGTCAAACCATTACGATGCCACACGCTCCATGAATTTGAGCCACAACCAGCTGTTTTTGACAGGTTTGAGATGATTTGAGTCGGGATGTTTCGCTGTTTTGGGTCTCTTTGCACAAGCACATTCATGTCAACAAGTCATCTGAATTCACAAGATTAATTCCAATTTTCCACTTCAATTCAGTGTAATGATGTGAACCCAACAATAACGCATCACAAGCCGTTTGAGAGCATGAAATAAATAAACCATACTAGGATCTTACTAGTACCCCAAGAGTGGGTGGATTCTATTCTCTTTTCCAGACTTGTTGGGAAAATCTGCGGTTGAACCCCCTACACTACATTGAGGATTAAACCCATGTTTTCCTCTATTTGTTTATTCAATCCCAACCATTGAGAGGGTTGCTCCAACCAAGTGTCGGTAAATTGTAGGCACAAGGGGGGCACATGGGTGATTTTGGAGGAATCCTGATGGATTTGTGCAGTCTTCCGAGGTTCGTTCGTTGGCCCTCCGGGCCACTGAGAGACGGATCTTCAAAGTAATTCGGGCAAACGTGGGATGCGCGGTCAAGGAAAATTGCGATGGTTCATGGTAGGTTGGGGAACATATATGAAAATATGGGAAAATGACGTTTAAGTAGAGTTCTGGCCCAAACTTCCTTCCAGCGGTGAGAACGGACCCTGCGAAACGTTTGGGGATTAGGCCCTTTTTCGATCTGCTGCCATGGATGGATTGACACCCAACTGGTCCAGTCTTGTGAAGGGGCAGAGCACTAGCCTGGTAGCTAGCATGGTGTACCTTTGACGGGAGCATAGAAATCACCTGATGAGTGCCACTGTTTGTAAACAGCTGTTCACTTTCCATGGTCGTTTGCCGGCTGACATGCTGACTTACAGCCTACTCAATGTGGAGGTGTGGGACCCGATGCCACGACCTGTGTTGTTTGGGGGTACTGATTCCCATATCTTTACCATGGTTGCGACTGGGATTCCTTACATGAGAACATCGAGATTTGCTCTGGTTTGGGAGGCCTTGGCCTGGGAGGCCTTTCATCAGGGTTCATCCCCAAGGTTGCGTGTGATGTCAACCCCCTGTTTCTTGAGCTCTATGATGCAGCTTTTGGCATCCCTTGTGTTTGTGGGGATATCTGTGATGTTGGGACCATTGCAAAAATCTGGGAAGCCTGTCCCCGATCAACATGCCTCAGTGCAGGAATCGCCTGCCAACCTTACAGTGCGCTAGGAGATGGTAGGAGCTCACAGGACCCAAGAAGCCTAAGCCTGCCTGGAACACTGGCTGCCGCCCACTACTTGCGGTCAGTTGCTGTGATTTTGGAATGTGTCCAGCCGGCACAAACAGACCCGTGGGTAGTCCAGCAGTTGAGCACCTTTTGCAAAGCAACCGTTTTCTACAAATCCGAAGTCCTGTTGCAGCTGAGTAATGCATGGCCAAGCTCTAGGAACCGATGGTGGTGTGTGCGTACTGCCCCTTTGTTGGGACCCATTAACCTGAAGGCACTCCCCATGTTCCAGGATGTCACCAAAATTTGCCATGTTGTTCCAACCATCACGCCGTGGCCGCAGGAACAAGAAGATGTGCTTCGACCCCAAGCACATGAAATTGAAGCCTTCCAGGTTGATGATTTAGGCTCGACACCGTACCTGTTGGACTGCCAGGGTGTGTTGCCATGCCCCCTACATTCGTGGGGATCACAGTTGCGACCATGTCCATGCATGTGCCGTAGAGCTGGCTTGTCATTGGAAAGACTTCAGAAGAAAGGATTGTTTGGTGCCCTTGTCCGATCTGCTTTGCCTGCCTTTGAGGGTGCTGTACGTCACATTCACCCCATGGAATGTGCGGCCCTGGTGGGATATGACCCCACCATCAAGCTGGGAGATTCAACCATGTTGCAACTTGCTGGTATGGGACAGATTGCCAGTCCCTTTCACTCGGCTTGGATATTTGGACACGTTGCCATGCACTTGGATCTTTTGCAGTTTGGTGTTAAAACATCTGAACCGATCGATCACCTGAAAGCCTATCGAGCCTGGCATTTGCTGAAATGTAGGTCTGTCTGGCCGTCCCAAGCTGTTTTCATGCATGGGCACCAGATTGCTGATGATCTACAGTGGTTTGGCATGTTTGCTCAAGTGCCTTTGGACTTTTTCCTGGGTTTTGAATGGTGGACAGCACCAAGATCTGTCATGTGTCTGGCTGCGGCCCTGCACCAGCTGCGCGAAGCCTCCTGTTGCAAGCATCCGTGATACCATTGGCCTCATTCCTGGTATTGTTGCGCCGGAACTCACCACTGATGAGGGTGAACATCCATTGACCTGCCAGGTCCATGACGGTAGCTCTGTAGTAGCCTTTCAGGTTTCTCATGAAGCGACAGTCGCAGATGTTGGTTTGGCTGAGGGTAGACTCATGCGTTGGTCTGGAGTTTGCATCAGACACCTTGAACCGCTTGGTGCCATTCAGCCTGAGGACCGTGTCGGGGGCAGTGTCCTTTCTGTCATGCCTGCTGAACAACTTTCACGGAATGATGACTCACATGCCAACTGGTGTTTCATACCTGTTCCTGTGCATGATGTCATTGCAACGCAAGAAGGTATGGAACTCGAAAGTGAACCTGAAACACCAGTCCCCATGTGCACAAGCGCCCTGGATGTCATCCCAAGTGATTTGCTGATGGGCACTGATGGTGCTGAAGTTGCTAGTGATGGCATTGAAGTTGCAGTTGGACACTTGCCGAGTGACCTGCCGCCTGAGGTGACTGCTGAAGACTGTTTTGACCCGTATCTGCATCCGCCTTCTGGTAGTGAGCTGCCATCACCTCATGCCACTCCCAGTGATAGCCCTGCTCCGCCTGCCACCTGGGTTGCCCGAAATCCGGCCGGCATGAGTAAGCCTGAACATGATTTGCCTTGCAATGATGATGCTAGGGTCTTTGGAACATGCCCGCTGATACACCTGAATCCAGTTGGCTTGTGCAGCCTTGGCACACCCTTTCCGATCAATCAGATGCAACATGATTCCTTGCACACTCAGGTAATTTCCAGCAAGGACCGACAGTGTATCCTCCACAATCAGGGTATGCTCTGGGCCGATGATGAGGTGTCGTGGCATGCACACAATGTGGTAGAGGCAGCTCAGGCCAAGAGGGGCGCTGATGGACTCTCTTCGAAGCCAATTGTCTTACTGCCAGTCATGCTTTTGCACGGTTGGACCCATGCCAGTGTAGCGCCAATGAAGAAGTGGCTGATGGACCGATATGTTGCTGGATCGCCCATTGTTGGTATCTTCAACATTGGATTGAAGAACACTGGATCCCTATGGTAGTCTTTCCTGGAGATGTCATGCATGTCCACACATTTGACAACCAGCAAGCTGACCAAACGAAGATTGCACCTGTGTTGGGCACGATTGCCAAAGTTGTCCAGGCGAAAGGAGCGGTGAACTGTGCTGTAGGTCTTTTCACAATCCGTGAAGAGTGTGGCACTATGGCCATTGCGTTTCTTGCTCACATTCTCTTGCAAAAGATGTTGCCCGTCACTCCTGATGACATGGGGCAAGTCCATGAGTACCTCAAAGGTCTGTTTGTGCAAAACCGATTGATGAATGATCTTTGTCTCAAACCATGGATGTGGGGGAAAGGTGCTATGGTCAGCATGCCTAGATTGCAGTTGAGAACGCCATCCATGTCTGCCTTGAGCCCGTCTGATGGTCCTGACCAATGCCCTCTTGCTTCTGTGTGTCATGTGATTGGATGTGACCATGCTGCGTCTGTGTCCATGCATTCCAGGGAGCCTGCCTGTGCCAACACAAACAAGAGATCATGTGATCTGATGCTCTCCCCTGAGGAGGACCAGTCAGATCCCAACAGCGACAAGTGACAGACCAGAGCTATGTCCTCTGGCCATGCAGATGCCAGTATAGCCGCCAATAGAACCAAGGATGATGCTCCTGCTAGCCTTGTGGTGAGCCCAGCACCTGCATGCAACAGCCAAAGGGAATCCGGGCCACTCCCTTTCAAATTGCCCGTGTCGAATGAGGGCTGTGTGTTGGTTGAGCCTGCTGAGGAACCAGCTGTGCCAAGTGAAGGGCTTCCCAAGCATGGAGAACTGTGCCAATCTGCTGCACCTGCACCACATGATCTGTCCACAACTTTCCACAGGGAATCCGGGCCACTCCCTACCAAATTGCCCGTTGTGTTGAATGGAAGCCTTGTCCATGAGTGCCTACATGGTATGAAACCGAATGTGGAAGAGACTGACCAAACCTCCAGGGATACGTCATGTGGTCACCTTGACATGCAAGCTGGCCGCTGCACCTTGACTGATGGTACATTGTGTCGCAGCTCCGGCCATGATGTCCCATGTGTCCACCACCAAAGTACTGATGCCAGGGAATCCGGGCCACTCCCTTTCAAATTGCCCGTTGAAACTGATGTTGAAGCAGAGCTCGGGGTGCCTGATGCCGGTACCTTGCCTGTGCCTGTGGTGCCCTTGACAACAGTTGGTGCGGCTGGGATTGCTCCCCCTTCTCCTATGATTTGCCATTGCCTAGGAAGTGCTGCTGCAGCATCCATTGGCCCTGGGCCTGCACCCCCTGATGAACCCTTGGGTGTGCCCCTGGATAATATATGGAACCCAAGTGCAACTGGTGGTAGAAACACAAAGCATGGCCGGGTTGATCACTCTGACGTCAATGATGCTGACAATGATGGTGGAAATCGTGTTGGCCTGCCTGCTGAGGAACTGAACCCCGCCAGTTGTGACCAAAGTGAGCCGCAGGACAGCAGTGGATCTCAGCGATGTATTGCTCGCACGTTTTGGGGCATCGACCTCTGGGATTTTGCCAACTGTGTTGATCACTGCAGTGTTAGTGGCTGTAGGGAATCCGGGCCACTCCCTTTCATATTGCCCGAGTACAGATTGCCTGCTGGTCCTGGTGAGGTGCATGATGTGGATGAACATGTTGCTGGCCTTTTTGGCCTTGACACTGCCATAGGACGACGCTTGAGCTGTATGACTTATGACCAACTGAAGTACAGCCTGGACCCCAATCCGTTGACTGAAGAGCAGTGCCAAGCCACCCGTGAATCAGTTGTGAGCCGGCTGCAAAGACTGACCATCCTGCGTCTCCAAGAGGATATGTGGGCGGATGATGAGGTCATGTGGCATCTTCATCAGGTTGCTTGTGTGTATCAAAGATTGACTGCCAGTTTTTGCCACGTGCTTGATCCGCTGCTTGCCACTGGCTGGTTTAACCATGGTGTTGCATTCCCAGTGACTCTGCCTGACCGACACCTGCAAGCTGCGTACTCACAGCCATCAAATTCAACTGCCATTGGATCCCCTTGATCCTTGTTAAAGCTGGGTCGATGTTGACCGTCCACACCTGGACTTGGCATGGCCGTCACCGACATGTGACCAACAAGCTCTTGATGCACCTCGCCCGACAGCTTGGGTGTGTTGATTACCCATGGATCCTTTATGAACCCCGAAGATTTGCGGATGATGCCTGTGGGCCAATGGCTGTAGCTCTTGCTGGGCATGTTTTGCTGGGTGTTCCCTTGCCCTCAGGGCACAGTGCTGTCATTGCTTTTGCTGACATCCGTCGCAAAAGGTTCATCATGAACCTTGCTGACCAGTGCCTTACACCTTGGTCATGGGCCTCAGTGAGCAAGCTGCTGATGAACTCAAACCTTTCCTGATTGAACATGGTGTGCCTGCTGAGCAAGCGCTCAACCGAGCTCAAGCTGCAGTAAAGGCCATTGGCGGATCCCAAATTTTGGAGGCATTGGCCTCCAAAATCCCCTGGAAATCCTTGAAGACCCCTAGGGAATCAGGCTAAGTTTCAGTTTCTGTTGCCTGCTGAACTCCAATCCAAGATCCAAAACAATGCTGGGGGGTCAGTTGGAAAGCCCAAGGGGGGCCGCAAAAGCCGTAAGACTGGTCCCACAGAAGGTGGTATCACACTTGACCCTTCGAAACTCAAGCTACCTAAAGGTACCTTTGCAGCTGGTGGCACAACACTCCAGCAGATTCCATTGTCTGAGTAGGACCCATAGCTGAAGGTGTTGTCTTGGTAAGCCAACAAGAAGCTGAGCCACATCTGACACAAGGCCGAAGAGTTTCCCTGTTTGTCGTGCAATCTGCTGCTGAGGTCGACACTAGCCTGGCTCACACAGCACTCACCGTCCCATGCCGTTGTCTTGCCAACAATGAACCCATCCTTGTTGGTGGAGTCTTATGCCAAATTGGGAACGGGTTTGTGGAAAAGGGACAAAGCATGAGTCAGGTTTCGGTTGACACGGTTGCTGTTGCTGCTTTGAAGTTTCTGCTGTACGAGGATGAGATTGAGGGGAGTTGGGACACCTTCATTGATGGCCCACTGCGCTACATTGCGTCCAAAATCCCAAGACTTCGCCTGTGCCAGCAACCACAGTGTAGCTGCCCCCACTGGCATAACGCGGAGGGAGTGAAGCCCATGAAGCCATACTTGATGTTTGGCGACGCCAATTTCTCCAAAGCACCTTTCGACCTGACACTGCCAGCCAGGCTGTGATGACACTGTTAGTGTGAGGGTTCCGGAGGTGTTGCTCCAGCACCTCCTTCATGCAAGTGGAACTGCTGGTATCTATTGTGAGCCACGAACCCTGGATGCTCGATCTGCACATCCGGACTATTCAGTTGTTTGGCTACCACGTATGACTTGATCCCAATTGAATCACTTGAAACAAACTACCCCAGCTGCCTTGGGAGTTGCCAGAGTTGCAGAGCGTGTTGGACTTCGGGTTCCTGTAGCCCAGGCTGCTGCAGCGCATCAAGCCCTGAAACCGGAGGCCATTTTCCTCCCAGCAGGTCCCAAATTGGAGTTCTTAGCAGGGCCTTTTCCTTTTGGCAGTGATCGCAACAGTCTGCTGCGTGCCTTCCGCGCACTGAAATGGGAAGCGCGACCTTTGCAGCCGTTGTCTAGCATAGACACCAAAGGGAGTATGTGGTTGGTACAAGCAACTGAGGATCCACCCGACTCCATACTACCAATGAGTCATGGTGATGTCGTGGTGACACGCCACAAGAAGCCTAGGGAGGTTAAGGACCCCAAGCCGCGTCCGGTGGCCTCAGCTGACACCCTTGCCCTTTGCGGCAACAATGGTACCGATGGCTCCAAAGACCCATGGCTCCCTAGTGACCCATGGGGAGGGTTCAAAGCCACTACCCACACGCTAGTGGCAGCTGATGCGACTGCAGGCCTGAAGCAGCTTGAAGACAAGGTCACCCAAGCAGTCCTGAGTAGCCTTCCAGCCCAACAGGTGCCAATGGAGCGTGATGATCTCCCTGATAGAATGCTCATGTTGGAAAATCAGATGCACAGCATCATGGAAATTACTTTACTTCGTGTGATCCCCACCATGACATTTATACATTTTGTTACTGGCAAATCTTCTGGCATTCTATCTGACATTTTATTTGGCATTCTATCTGGCATACCTTCTGGCATTCTATCTGGCATATCTTCTGGCATTCTACCTGGCATATTATTTGGCAAATCTTCTGGCATTCTATCTGGCATATCTTCTGGCATATTATTTGGCAAATCTCCTGGCATTCTATCTGGCAAACATTCTGGCACTTTATCTGGCATACCTTCTGGCATTCTATCTGGCATGTCTTCTGGCATTCTACCTGGCATATCTTCTGGCATATCTTCCGGCATTCTATCTGGCATATCTTCTGGCATATTATCTGGCAAATCTTCTGGCATTCTATCTGGCAAACATTCTGGCACTTTATCTGGCGTATCTTCTGGCATTCTATCTGACATTTTATCTGGCATTCTATCTGGCATACCTTCTGGCTTTCTATCTGGCATATCTTCTGGCATTCTATCTGACATTCTATCTGGCATATCTTCTGGCATATCTTCTGGCATTCTGTCTGACATTCCATCTGGCATATCTTCTGGCATTCTATCTGGCCGTTGAGGTCCAGCGGTGCACACTGAGCTGGGAAGGTCGCCGGTTGAGGTCCAGCGGTGCACACTGAGCTGGGCAGGTCCCCGGTTGAGGTCCAGCGGTGCACACTGAGCTGGGCAGCTCGCAGGTTGAGGTCCAGCGGTGCACACTGAGCTGGGCAGGTCCCCGGTTGAGGTCCAGCAGTGCGCACTGAGCTGGGAAGTTGGCGAAGAGCTTGGCGACGGGTTGGCAAGGTTGGCAAGGCGGAAGTGGAGGTGGAAGAGGCGGAGGCGAGGAGGAGGGCGAGGAGGACAGCTAGTCGAGGAGGAGGAGGAAGAGGCGGCGGGCATGCGCACTGATAAAATCTAACAACCCTCACCTGGCAGGTGGGGAAAAAATGCCCAAATGGAAACTCAAATGCAGGAGCAAGCTGCAGCTCAGACTTCCCAGCTCGCAAGCTCGCCACCATGCAACACCAAATGACTGCGCATGGCCAACAGTTGCATGGACACATGGAAGCACAACAGCAGAACATTGCTGCCCTCTTTGAGGCGCAAATGAATCAAATCCGGGCACTGATGTCCAAGCGCAGCAGGGAAGATCACGAGTGACGGTGTGGGGCGGCAGCCATGTTTTGGTTGCAGACTGTTTTCTGCTTTTTCTGTGGTTGCTTGGCCCCATTTCTTGCCGTTTATCAGCCTTTTGGCCCCTTTTTCAATGCAAACGTGTACAGATCTATGGAGGACCTCTCAAGCCGAAGTCCAAACTCACCTGAGCGACAGGTCCTCGCCATTGTTCCGCAAAAGTTTGCGAATGTCCAAATCCAAGTTTAGCCATTGTGTGGCTGGAGCCCCAGTCCCATTGCGGCTGCGATCTCAACTCTCCGGTGGTTGGAAAGGGGTTGCCGCCATTGCCAAACACCCCACAAGAGCCATGCCTGCGGCCTTGTCTGATGAAGTTCGGCTGTCTAGTAGAGCCCTCGTCACTGCCACGTTCCTCAATGGCTTGTGGATTACGATGGGGACCATTTACGGTGAATCTGCAGGCACCTGGCACCCAGACCAATTGGCCAACAATGACCGTCTTTTGAGTGAGGTTGCCACCCAAATTTGCGTCCTGTCCTCTGGTTTGCGAGTCATTGCTGGGGATTTCAACAATGGTGAGTTTGACCTTCCGTCTTTTCAAATACTGGAGATGCATGGTTTCAAGGACTTGCAGACACTTGCTTTTGACAGATGGGGCATTGAAATGCAAATGACATGCAAGTGCTCTACCAGAGTTGACTTCTGCTACATCAGCCCCGAGTTGCAAGCGTTGCTGACGAAGGTTCATGTTGACCAAACAATATGGCCTGATCATGCGGTCATTTCCGGCGTTTTCCATGGTGGAGTGCGCAGTGTTCCTCGCTATGTTTGGCGACTGCCCCAGCCAATGACTTGGCCTGCCTTCGAAGTTGAACCGCTGGGTTCCATCTTGCCTGGCCACGCCACGGCCAAGTATACTGAAATGTGGCGACATGCTGAACATCGAGCACTTGAAGCCTCGGCCAAGCCTGTCAGAGCTGCCTGCCTTGGGCGTGCCACAACCTTGGCACCTCGCAAGACATTTGGGCAGGCCCACGCTCCCTTGCGCGCGGCCCGTGAAGGTGACATCTTGCCACAGTTCTTTGGAACTTCCCTGCAGCATGCCTTGTGGTACCGTCAAACACGTAGGCTCCAGGCCTTTTGTAGATTTGCCCGAGCTGCTCGGCAGGCCAAAGACCCTGGCCATGCTGCGCAAGTCTGGGGCTCAATAGTACGTGCCAAAGGTTTTGAGCCTTTTTTTTCTGCTTGGTGGGCCGCCCTGGATCATCGTGCCCCTGGAGCGCCAGGTGTATTTCCCTTAGCACCACCCCAGTTTGATGTTGCCACATGCATTTATGACACCTGTGTCCTTGCACTCCGATGAGCGGACCCTGCAATCCAACAGCCGAGCATATGCCAAAGCCAGACGCCAGAGGTCGCCAGATCTTACTTTCCAAGACATCAAGCAGGCTGGCCCTGACAATGTTGACCTGCTCATTCGCCCCGAACAAGCCAAAGTTGTTGCCATTGATGGCAGCCAGCTGTGTTTACAGCTCAACCGGGACCTGTGCTGGGACCCTCAGAAGTCTGTTTACTGTGGTGCTGCGCGGATTGAGGTCATTCATCATGAGGACAGCTGGATCTGGGTTGATACCCTTGAGGGTGTTGCAGTTGGACAAACATGCACACAAATTCACAGGGGACTTGGATGAGTTGTTTCAGGCCTTCCAGCACACTTGGACACAGCGGTGGTGTCGCCATGACAAAGTTCCCAACAGCCAATGGGATGACATCCTGGCCTTTGCATCGCGTGTTGTCCGGCCTGCACCTTGCAAGCTAGTTGAAGTTGACCACAGTCTGCTGGGTGAAGAAATCAGGTGTAAGCGCCGTAGAACCTCCAAGGGCCTGGATGGCGTCAGTATCCTGGACCTCAAAGCTGCGCCTGCGTCCTTGCGCACTAACATATGCCTCTTCTACAAAGACGCAACTGAGACTGGGGAGTGGCCTATAGCCAAATGATTGCAGGCCGTATTGCCAATGTCGCCAAAAACTCTGCACCAACAACACCTGACGATTTTCGGCTTATCACTGTTTTTGGCCTGTGCTATCGTTTGTGGACGTCCATCCAGTGTCGCAGCCTTTTGGCTGATCTTGACTGCATTTTGCCTGCAGGTCTTTTTGGTGGGTCACTGTGAAGTCGTCACTCACTCAATTCGTGTCACTCGTGCATCTGTTTTTTTCTAGTCAGTTGAGTCTTCACTGAGTGCCAGCTTAAACGCAGAAAACAGACGCTTGACCGGTCACGGCGACCTGTCAACTTGGACCCAGAGTTGACACACAGTGAGGATCAGTACTAGGGACCAAGTACTGACTGAGCAAGCATCAAACCTCCACGTGGTGCTCCCTGGAAACCTGTTCGCTAACCTGGTTGGTCCATGCACTCGAAGAGCGGAGGTCTCTAGATTTTTCCTTTACAATACTTCCTAACACCTTCACCTCTAAACCGCGCGCGTACACCCCGGACACACAGTGTTCCTACCCACTCCGCTCACCGTTTTCTACCTCCACGGTCCCCATACCTTACCCGATAATCAACCTGTACAAATGCTCCCTCTTTGGGTATGGGGCGAACAGGGCCAACCCCACGGGGCGCTTGTGCAGAACGCGCAAGGGGGAGATGCAACACGGGCGGGGTCCAAATACGAGCAGCGGGGGCGTTGGAACTATGTCAACCTGGGGACTCGTTGGCTTACGTTCTTCCCTTGTTCTCGGGCACTGTCCGGAGATGGCGGGTGGGCACTGACATCTCGATTACACGTGGCGGGTGTATAACATCACCTACTTTCACATTGCCCCATTAGACTTGTTTTCCCACATGGTTACGTTTCATTAAACAACAAAGTTTTTATTTCTCCTTTCTTCTCTTTGCTTTTTGGCCCAAACCGCGTTTTCTTTTGACTGGTTCTATGATACACACCTTCAGTCGTGATCCACTTCCTACGGTCTGTTTGAAATTGTCGAACATGTCAGGTTGCTTCTAGCTGCTCAGGTTTGTGTTATCACCCACACACACACGCTTCCACACACATTTCTTCACCCGGACCCTCCGTCAGTCCACCCCTCAGCTCACCAACATGACCCTCCGCCGCCATCAACCATCCGCTGCCCGATCCGTTCTCCGTCGGGTCTCCCGCATGAAACTAAAACAGGAACAAAAACGAAAAAGAATTAGCCAAGGCAAATGGGTACGTCGTGCTCAATCTAAACGACAATCTAAACGTCTAGTCATACTGGGCACATGGAACACACGTCAACTCGGAGCCACTACAGGTTACATTGACCAAGACCTTAAAATAAATGCTCTCATGGACATTTGGGACCTCCGGAAATGGGAACTAGTGGCCCTCACGGACACCAAACTTGGCACATCCAACACCCTTGGCACCCGCAACCAGACCCGACCCAATTGGACCATCCTCAGCCGAGGACGCGTAGCATTGGCACTCAACGAACGCTGGTTCGAAGCCTAGCAACCTCCCCATACACACAGATGGCAATGGCCAACAGTGCCGGATGATGCTGGTCCACATCCCATGCTTTCAACGGCTAGGACTCGCTATCATCATCACTTACGCCCCCAGCAGCAATGCCTCACCTGAAGACTATGCCACCTATTACACCAACTTGGAAACCCTTGTCTCCAAAGTCCGCCCGCGATATACCCTCCTTATCGCGGGGGATTTCAACGCAGAAGTTGGTACCCGATCCCCTGAAACAGGAACCGCCCTTGGCCCGCATGGCCCCAGCCATCGCACCAACCGAGGCCTTCAACTGTGCCACTTCTGCAATGAACATGGCTTAGCAGTTGCCAACACATGGACGCCACAACGCACCAAGGCCACTTGGTGGCACCCCCGCTTTGGAACTTCACACCTAATCGACTTTTTTCTCATTTCACACGCACACATAGGGAACACACATCGGGTACTCACCATTTCCCCTGACGTTGCCAGGACAGCACACTTAGAAGAATGGACACCCTACACGGACCACAATCCAGTAGAGATGACACTCAAAATGGCCCCGCCAAAAGGCACTTTTGGACGCCGCAAACTTCCCCCCCGCCCCGCAACGTACAAGGCCCGTGGCAAATCTCAACAAGCAATCGCGTTACGAACGCAATTCCACCAAGCCATCACCCACAAACTCCAAACCCACACCCCCTGCCAAACATGGGATGAAATCGCATCCTTGCTCACAACGACGTCCGCCGAGATCTTTGGATTCACTGAATCTCAAGGGGGTAAATCATGGTTCGCGGGACGCCAAGCTGAGATCAAGATCCTCAATTCCCAAGTCTCCACTGCCAAACACATGCTCACAGCTTGCACCCAAGCCGCACGTGACCAGCCACACAACCCCGACACACAGCACCGTCTCCAACTCGCCAAACAGTCTCTTAATACCGCCAAGCGCGTGAAACGACGACTCTTCACACAATGGGAACGTGATTACTGGCATACAATCGGACAACAAGCTGAAGACGCAGAAACACGCGGCGATACCTATGCCCTTTACTCCCTTTTCTCTAAACTCAAGGTCCGCAAAGCCAACAGCACCCGGAGCTCCTTGCGCAATGTCACCCGGAACCCTTTCGCTGAAGCTGAATCATGGAAGGATCATTTTAGCAAAATACAAAATGGAGCGGTACCCGTGGCCCAACGAGTCTGGGACAGTGTGCCCACCAACCCCATCCCCGCACACTGGCTAAGTGACACCCCTACGACACATGAACTGACGCGCGCGCTCGCCAAAATGAAAATCGGCAAGGCGCCCGGAAATGACGGAGTCACTGTCGAGATGATTAAATGGGCACCCCAACAAGTCATTGACAACCTCTTCACATTCACCCAACAACTCTGGGATACCACATGTAGTGCCCCGCCCGACACCGCCACCGCACATTGGCCAGATTCCTGGATGCAAGCCACCGTTATTCCCCTTTGGAAGCAAAAACATCCCAAAAGCAACAAAAGTAATTGGAGAGGAGTCACTCTCCTCTCAATCGGAGTCAAATTGATCTCCCGCATTGTCGCCAGTCGTATACAACAATTCTCTGAATCCTTCATGGACGAGGAACAACAAGGCTTCCGCAGAAATCGGGGGGTAGACGATGTTTTGCAAGTAAGCCGGCGAATTGCTGAAGAAATCTGCAGCTCGCGCGGTACTGAAAACGTGAAATTACTTAGTGGATGGTTTTGGTTTACAGCACTTGCAAGTAACTTGTAACCTAGTTGTAAGGTAGTTGCAACCCTAGTGTATCTAAGCTAAGTAAGCTAAGTTTTTATCTTATTTTACGGTAGTTGTAAGTAGTTAATTACCAGAGATAAACTAGATGGTAAGTTTTTTTAAAGTCTTTTTTTGAGGTAACAAAAAACAACTTAAATAACTTATAAGTAACTTAGGAAACTTAACTTTTTTGGATTTTAAAAGCTGTTATTTTTTGTGTTGGAATAAAAACATATAAAAAAAAAACAAGGTTTGGGTTGGAAACGAATTAAAATCATATTTTTTATTTTTGATATTTTTGTCGGAAGGCGGCTCTATGAGAAGCCTATCGGGAAAAGTTTTGTGATGCTGAGTCTTTTTGTTGATATGTTATTCTCTTCTCGTTTGGACAACAGGATGGATACGAAGTAAAAGGCGTTTGGGCTCTTGGAAAGATCATGAGGCCACAGCCCCTGTGAGGTGTGTATAAAGCCTTTTCAATAGAATTGGAGGTTATGGCGGTCCATTGGACCGCCTGTACATCAAGGGTATTTATACATTTTTGGGGCTACATCAAGAAACACAAAGCAGCTGCACATGTTTTCCAACATGTTGGCGGTCCATTGGACCGCCTTTAGGGACGGAATGATGTTTTAGTGGAAGTGGAAGTGTTTAAAATGGATGATTATATTTGTTTCATGTTCAGTTTTGGTTCAGCAGCTCAGCATATCATATTTTTCAAAAAAAACACAAAATACAAAACACATTTTTACACATTTTTACACATTTTTACGCATTTTTACACATTTTTACACATGTGTAAGTGGTTTTTTTTGGGTTTACACATGTGTAAGTGGATGTTTTTGGGTTTACACATGTGTAAGTGGATTTTTTTGGGTTTACACATGTGTAAGTGGTTTTTTTTGGGTTTACACATGTGTAAGTGGATTTTTTTTGACTTACACATCCTTACACATCCATACACATCCATACGCATTCAGGTATATTATAGTCTTTTTGGTTCATGCTTTCGTACAATGACATCATATGATATGCTTAATTTAAATCCTTCAAAATGACTGCGGTCCAATGGACCGCATATCTTCTTGCATGTCTTGCAATGAACTTACGCGTGATAAGCATGTCTATTGATTCAAAAGTGCGGCCCACTGGATCGCATACCTATATAATTCTCTGGTCAATCAAAAACATATTGTTGCGATTTATGTTTCATCAAGGGAAGTAGCGGCTACCGACAACTCCTGCTCAGAACCATGAACCATGAAACCACACCGAATTTGAATAGCACATCGCACGCCTTTGGTCATCCGTGGATGTTCTATCCTGCGGCCCTTTGGGCAGCAACTCTCTCATTTTATTTTTTCCAAATTAAGATTGTCCAACCCAAAGTTTAAAAACATCATCAAATTTTCAATTGCAGCAAAGAAATTCGAAGAAAACTTACGAAACAAAGGTTTCTTCAACACAAAAAATAAAAATGCAAAACGCAATGATGACGAAAAAATCTGCTAAAATACCTTTCTTTTCATTTTCAAAAAAAACTTAAAATAACTTAAAAAACTTGCAAGTTACTTATATTTAACTTTTGTTACTTAGAGCTACAATTAAACAGTTAAGTTTCCTAAGTTAACTTGTAAGTTGTGTAAGTAGGTCAAGTGCCATAAGTAATTTACATGTATTCTATCTCAAAACCATCCACTAAGTAACCCTGTACGACATCGAGAAAGCGTATCCCCGCATAAATCGCGAAGCGCTATGGTCCCTTCTACAGAGCCCCCCTACCCTTCTTGCAGGTGTGTAAGGCCCTACACAATCACACACAATTCCATGTGAAACTGGATGGCGTACTGTCTCACAACTACGAGGCGGACCGCGGCCTAAAAGAGGGCTGTCCGTCCTCTCCTCCACTTTTCAACCTCTACCACCAAGCAGTTCTACACGACTTTCGCACGCGACGCAAAAGATCCGCCGAAGCAGCAGGACTCACACCTGGTATACAATGGAAAATTTTCGTTGACGGCAAACTCACCCGACGACGCAGGGCATACCAAGCCCAAACTAACAGCAAAGTCCACATCTTCGGTGACCTCGAATTTGTCGATGACACCGTTAGAGTCGCAACCGAAACCGAATTCCCCACCGCCGACCGCATACTCGAACAAACTTTCACCGATTGGGGCGAAAAACTCAACCGTGAAAAAACCGAAACCCTTCTCCTCAAACCAGGCACCCCTCCTGAACAACGCCGGGAACCCCCCCCAAGCCCACAACTCCGTCCGTCATGTCGGAGGCATTTTGTCCGACACCGGCGCTCAATGGCGAGACACTCTCCATCGATGCATGCAAGCCCGACGCCGCGCTAAGGAAATTGCAAAGGCATGGTCCACGGGTACACACCGGGGACGAGGGGAGACGAGTCGCGTCAAACTCCTGGCCCGTTTGCGCGTAATGCGTATACAGCGTAATCCAGCCTACACTCACTTCGGACGCACCCGACCCTGGACACGGGCTCAAATTGGAGCACTATATACAGACCGCTCAAAACTACGCCCTACAACGCGTGTTCGGACTCGATAGAATGGCCTATACACGAACTTCACATCACAAACGAGCAGCTACACAATGCCGCACTCTGGCCCCCCATCCGCACCGTGCTAATGAGGCAAACTCTTCGTTGGCTCGGCCACGTTTGCCGCATGCAAATCCACCGACTCCCTAAACTGGCCCTTTTTGGAACTTGGATTCAAAACACCTCGAGCCCCGTTCGGTCTCATAACCAACTTACTGGATCCACAACACACTTGCTGAGGCGGACATACACCCCATGGATTTCTTCCGCTTAGCACAAAACCTGGACGTCACCAAATGGGAACAGCTCATTAAACGCGCATTCCCCCAGCCTCACCTCACCCCCGCTGCCGCCCGAACACTCAACCACTGGCGTAGCGGCCGCCCCCTTCCAGACCACCGTCAACTGCGCTTTCGTCGAACCCGGAACACATGGCACACCCCTGCGAGCAGAGTGCCCGTAAATGCCTGCCCCGTATGCCTTGAACAGTTCCCGACACTACAAGCACTGCAACACCACTACCGACTCACCCATGCCATCACCGATCCCGCCCTCACCACCTTCTCCAGTTACCAATGCAGCGAATGCCGCAAAACTTTCACTACACCCCATGCACGACTCAATCATGAATGCAGAATCCTATACGCAGTACCGGATGCTGACAACACAGACCTGTTCGGTTGGAAACCTTTCACCCTCCCCAAATTGACCCGCTCCCCCAAGCATGGAAACTTTACACAGATGGCTCTTTCAACCCCCGGACCCCACAAAACGCAGGATGGGGAGTGGCGGTCTACAGTAGCGAAGACCACGCCGACAGTAATTGCCTCTGCGCACTGCACGCCCCTGTTTGCCTCGACAAATAAGAGGATCAACGCTTCCTAGGAGCCGAACAGGCTAGCAACAACACAGGAGAGCTAACAGCCATCGCCGAAGCTCTAATTTGGCTACGGGACGAATGCAAGCAAGTTTCTCTGCATTCGGTGTTTGAAGCATGGGCTCCGGAGTTTGAAAAACAGCATTTTGTCTCTTTTTGGGAGTTGGACTTCTTGGTTTTTGTGGTGCTCAGTCATCACATAAGCTCCTGAGGGTTAGATATTTTGATATGACATCACATCAATCTTTGTGTTCCATTTACATGTCACTGGAACCTTGCATGATATGCTCTTTGGATGTGACATCTCGAATCTATAACACGTGTTACATTTTTTGTTGGCAAATTAATTCTACGTAAAAGGTACACTGGACTGGTGATTTGTTGGGTTGTTATTGCTGATAGTATGAAAGTTGGTTGGTTAGTCATGGTTGCGCAGGCTGGTTCCGGCAGTGAAGCTACAAGCATTGCAGCCATGCTCAATTAGCAGGCTGCGAATCTTTGAAAAAAAGGAGCTGCAGTAGCTTCCTGCATCGAGGTGATGGCGCCAGCAGCCGCGACATGCAACAGATTCAAGAGGTGATTCTGCAGCTGCGTCTAAACGCTGTACAGCTTCTACAGGGTGGCAAAGCTTCTGGATCATAGATCAGCCCATCTCAGCGAACACGTTGAAGTGGCTTGAAATAATCAATCTGACCATTCCCGAGCTGCTTATGTTTTTCAACTAATTTGATAGGATGAGAACCACCCAATGTTTTGGAGCTTACCATTTTTATCTGTAAGCCAAAATGCATGAACACAATGTATGCGGTTCACACAAAGCATCTGGCTTACAAGGCTTGCCATTTGGAAGCCTGGCGAGAAAATGAAGAACATCTTTCAAGTTGTTGATGCAGCCGTGCAAATAGTTTTCACTCTCAGGAGCAAGAGATTAACAGTGCCAGCAGCCTCTGATGGGCTGTGAGCTCATTGTTCAGCCGAGTCGGTGCCAAAGTGATCCTTTGTCAGCTTGAACCTGACGCACATCTGCTCTTGCTCCCAAACGCCCCAGAGTTCAACCTCTGCCATCCACGGCCCGCTTTGGCTTATAGAATATTCTCGCACTTGAAAGACCAGCTCTTCAAAGCAAATGACATCTCTGTCACCCGCGAAATGAATCTCGTAGTTGGCCATCCATCTCAGCAGACTCTCCATGCGCACATCCGAGGTGCGATCGCTGAGGGCCACCCATGGCTTAGTGCCACAAAAGGGGCTTTCCATCTGGTACATGTACTCGGCGAGATCAGGCACGCCATCAGGCCAGTCCATACCTGGGATTGTAACTTTGTAGATTCGAGACATGAATGAAAACTCCCTGATTTTACGCGTCATGACTCCTGAATGAACGAAGACAAGTCACCCATGCGATCCGCGTACTTGCTTTGCGCCATTGGTGGTCACGGAAAGCAGTGGCTGTTTTAGCAAAGCTTAGCCCCAAAAACTGCAACAATAGAACAAAGGATCGTGACACTGTGCAAAAAGGAGCTTACAGCATCCTGCACAAAGGAGCCAAAAGGCATCCTGCAGAAAGGAGCTTACAGCGTCCTGCACGAAGGAGCCAAAATTAAGGCATCTTGAAAACTCCCACACCGTGAGCTGGAGGAATTGGTCTCCTTTAATTCCGCAATCTTTTTCTCTGCGGACAATCGGCATCTCTACGCTGGCAATCTGTCAAAATCCTAAGCACGGTGTTCCCTAATTTTGTTCACAAAATTCCCTCACCGTCTTGGTGGGTTGCGGCCAGCAGCTCTCAAAATTCATTCAGTCATTCAGCCATCAGAGTCAGCTGCAGCGCGCTTTGTGGAGGAATGATGCAGCTGCCCTTCAGCCAGACACTTGGCTTGATTCCTGTGAGGCCTTGTTTTGCAAATCGTGTTGACCAGACAATCTGCACCTTGCTCAAATCCCAGCAGTCGGCAGGGAAAAGCCCAGCGATGGTCAAGTAGTTGGCCTTTCCACCTCCTTCAACTGTCATCTTCTCTGCCCGCCATGCAACTTGGTGCTTCACCTCGACGGTGAAGTCGCCAGGCCCATGCTGCCCCTGAGGATGTTCGATAAGGATGTGGTACCTGACGATTGCTTGCTCTGGCTTGGATCGTTTCATGGCGTCGATGACTTGGAAGAGACTTTGCGCTTGGTTGTCAATAAAGACAATCTCAGAGCTTCCTTCAAACTTCCACATGATATCCACCGCTGGATCCCACATTTCAGTTGTTTCCTTCGGATGCCACCATTTTCCCTTCTGCCATGACGTCAAAGACCCAACCACGGGAATAGGAGCGGGAGTAGTGTTCACAAGCATCAAGCGGTTGCTGGGAAACAGCTGGAAACTCAGGCCTTTCAGCTTGTTGCTGCAACTCGCTTGAATCAGCACCTTTGTCATGTCGAGCTCCGCCACATGAATGAACTCAAATTTGGTCGCACCAGCAGGGTTCTCCACGAGGTCCACGGCATTGCTGGTGCGCAAGCGCTTGCTCGGCCGGTCAACATTGTCCTTCACAGGGATGACTGCGTTCATTTCTTCAAGAAGTGCTTCCCAGTCATCCTTGAAGGAGCTGGAGCCCCACTTTGCAGCCAAGCTCTGCGGCAGCTGGAGGTTCAGGCCATCCACGGTTCCCACATTGAGGGCTGGCGCCAAAAGTTCAGGTTGTTGATCTGCAGGCAGAGTTTCCGGCAGCGGCTCAAAGTCCTTCAGCTTCAAGGCCCGGGACAAAAACAGATCAATGGCCAAGTCGTGCAAATCAGTGCGTGCCCATTCCATTTGCAACTCCGGCGCCAAAGCAATGTAATGCAATGCGGTGGATGCAGCAGGCATTCTGAGCACGGCTCGCGCCACGTCACCTGTCTTTGGGCTGAGATCAACAATCAATTCGTTGATGCATGCGTGGGGGATGCCCTTCCAAACGAGATTTACACGGCCGGACAGTTTGATGTTGCTCTTGCACACCTCATGCCTTTTTTGTCCTTTCCCAGATGCCCGACTGGACGTAATTGATGCATGGCTCGAGCGCCATTTGCAATACGCTGCAAAGCCGGGTGGTAGAGTTCTGAACAGGCTTCCAACGGCAGGACGCCGAGAAGTTATGACCGTTGCACAAAGTGCAATCCAAGTTTGGTAACATGCCGGACTGCAGGTCGCCTCCGTTCTGCCGAGTCGACGTGCCGCCCGATAAAAGCGATAAAAGTGACGTTTAAGTAGTGGGTACTGGATCCGCATATAGGGGGAATACTAAATCTGAATAAGCCGGGGGGGTCTCTCCCGCTATAGGTCAACATTGTCAACATGTTTTTTTGGGTGGTTTAAAAGCATCTCGAACTGACAAAACCCTCCACCATTGAGGTGGGCTTTATGAGGGGGGAACATTACTGGGGGATCCAAAATCATTGTCTGGTTGAAACACTTGAAACAACACGGAGGCTGAGAGATTCTGCGTTTTCCAATCATCAAATCAGTATGATTTCTCCGAAGCGTCTCAAAAGTGCACAAACATACAAGTGAAGTCCAGCTGTGGTGAGAAATTTCTAAGACTGTAGCCCCACAACATGAAAGTACCCAAGTGCCCAAGGAACTTCAACTCCAAGTGGCTCCAACTGAATCTGACAATGTATATATGATGCCCCTGCTGCTTTGATTGTGGGACCTGTAGCATGAAACCATATAAAACCATATGAAACCGCGTAACCAACGTTATACCAACATGTTTTTCTGGATCGCTCAAAGCAGACAAATCTCACCGGTCAATTTTCTGTGCCGCAAGATGTCTGAACCTTCAGGATCTTCAGGCAGGGGTCGGGAGATCCACAGTTTGCACAATGGATACAACGGATTCTGCGGACAATTTGACTCCGTATATGTTCTTGTTGAGGATCATGTTCAATGCTTTTCATATCTTTTTAAACTATTTTAAACATGAGGTTTCTGTTTGCAGGCAATGTAGATGGGATCATGGTGCTCTTCAGGCCTGGATTCGTGGTGGGGCATCAAGTTTCGGACATTTTCGGACGTCGTCCTTGGTTTTTTTCGAATTTTGTTTGATGGGTTATAACGTTCTGCTGTGCTGGCAATGTCATTGACTGCCACTTAAACATTCATGAATCGCTTGTCCTCCGTTGTCGTTGTTGTCGTTGTTGTTGTTGTTGGTGGTGGTGGTGGTGGTGCTTGTTTCTTATCCTGTGTTTTAAGTGTGCACCTTTCATCAGGCATTCCCCCTTGGCTGTTGCTTGCCCTTCACCTCTTTTGCTTGTCGGAAACCCAGACGCTCAGAATTAATATACTTGAAAACTTCGACCACTTGTGCATGGCAACATAATTGAATTGTTCGAACAAGCCAAGTTGAACTACCCGCTGGTGGTCAGCAACGTGAAGGTGCTCAACGAAAAGATAAAGGCTGGCGACAGCAACCAATGCAATAGACACGTGGTTTTCTTTTATATTGTTAGCTGTCTGTTGTTGCAAAGCGCGACATTCCCAAAGGGGTTGTCATGGTGTGAGCCATGGCCACTATTACATCGCACATGTGCAATCAGAACGTTCTCTGCAACCCTTTGCCAGTGTAAGTTGCTGATCTTGACAGAGTTGAGCCTGTTAGTGTTTGCTTGCTGCTTGCGATGCACCTGTCCAAGATGGACAAATCTCACTATCTTTTGATCGCTCTTCGCCCACAGTGGGCCAACAGTTGAAACAGCATTGAAGTGCTGGTTGCGGCTCCCTTGACAGGGCACTCGGCCAAAGACTTCGTTGGCGGCTACCATTCGCTTGCTGCGAGAGACGTGAGCCTCAGGGAGAGCTGTTCAAATTCGATGTTTTATATGAATCCGGGGATGTGAATCCGGGGAAGTTGCAGGTATGTTTCTTGCTCAGCTACTATGTGTTTTCCCTGTATATCGCATGGATGGGTGTCGGATTTGTTTCAACAGGTACACAAGCGAGGGCGTCCTTGGCCTGTACAAAGGCGGCCACATTTTCCTGCTGCACCAGGCAAGACGCGGCGCCAGTTGAGCGACAGAGGCCTTGGTGTTGTCGAACATTGTCGGGCATGATGGCCATGGTGGCCATGCCATGGGAGGCCATTCGCGATGGGATGCGTTTCGTGGTAGATCGAGGGCTGCGAGCTCTCGAAAGAAGGACTGTGCCGATCATGACTGGGAGTATAGGAGAGCTGTAGTCAAAGGAAGTTGGGAAGCAATACTTCCGAGTTACGAATGACTTTTACTTGATGGAATTGACTATGATGAAGGGTGGTGCGCGAGTGAGACTTGACCTTGATGAAGGGTGGTGTGAGACTTTACACTACATAACAATACATCAGAAAAGAATTGACTTTGATGAAGGGTGGTGTGAGACTTTACACTACATAACAATACATAACAAAAGAATAAGAAGCTATGCAGTTGACCTTGATGAAGGGTGGTAGATCACATAACACTACATAATGTAACAACACATAACAAAAGAATAAGAAGCTATGCAGTTGACCTTGATGAAGGGTGGTAGATCACATAACAATACACCCTGTAACAATACATAACAAAAGAATAAGAAGCTATGCAGTGGACCTTGATGAATGGTGGTAGATCACATAACAATACATAATGTAACAATACATAACAAAAGAATAAGAAGCTATGCAGTTGACCTTGATGAAGGGTGGTAGATCACAGAAGGGAAGTGATGATGAAGGGGAGTGGTGACGAAGGGAAGTGGTGGAGAAGGGAAGTGGTGACGAAGGGAAGTGGTGAAGAAGGGAAGTGATGATGAAGGGGAGTGGTGACGAAGTGGTGACGAAGGGAAGTGGTGACGAAGGGAAGTGGTGACGAAGGGAAGTGGTGACGAAGGGAAGTGGTGACGAAGGGAAGTGGTGACGAAGGGAAGTGGTGACGATGGGAAGTGGTGACGAAGGGAAGTGGTGACGAAGGGAAGTGGTGACGATGGGAAGTGGTGACGAAGGGAAGTGATGATGAAGGGGAGTGGTGACGAAGGGAAGTGGTGAAGAAGGGAAGTGGTGACGAAGGGAAGTGGTGCGCATTGGAATGGCTGCATGGGCTTTGTGTTGGGGAGGAAGCTGGAGCACGAAACCTTGTGTTTTTCCGTGTAAAGTGGCTGCCGCCGGCGATGAAAGGTACCTCGTCTGTGCGACGGGT